CGACGGCGGCGGCGGCGGAGACGACGGCTGCAACGGCGGCGGCGGTGGAGACGACGGCTGCAGCAGCTGCGGCGACGGCGGCTGCGGAGGCGGTGGAGGAGGAGACACCGGGGGAGGGACAGACGGCGAGGACTGCGCCGGAGGACTACCAGAGTCAGAAGACTCGTCGACCGGGACGACCGACGGGAGGGGGGTGACGTGAGACACACCAGAGGGGGCCGGACGGGGGGGCGGGGGGGGGGAGGGGCAGGGACCACCAGGGAGGGAGGAACCAGGAAAAGGGGGGGAGTAACCGGGGGACCACGGTGGGGAAAGCGGCGGTAGAAGGAGACGGACTCGTCAAAGGTGACGTCGCGAGAGTGAAAGAAGCGGTGAGACGGCGGGTGGTAGAAGTGCCAGTCGGACGCGTCAAGGGGGAAACCGAGGAAGACGCAGGGGAGGGTGCGGGCAGTGAGCTTGTCCGTGCCAGAGGCACGAACGTGAGCAAGGCAGCCCCAGACGCGGAACGCAGACGCGTCACCAGGGGACCCGGTCCACAGAAGGGTCGGCGAAACCTGCGGCCGCTGGGGGTGCGGCCACAGGTTAAGCTGGTGAGCGGCGTAGCGCACGGCGAACGGCCACAGAAAATGGGGTGCACCGGCGTGGATCATGGAGGTGCGAGCCACCTCCATGACCAAACCGATGCGTCGCTCAGCGACCCCATTCTGCTGCGGGGAGTCCGGCAGGGTAAACGTCTGGGTGATGCCCTCCGCACGACAGAAGCGACCAAGGACACCTGAGGCAAACTCGCCACCCCGGTCGGAGTGAAGGCGCAAGGCAGGGAGACCGCGGTGGACACGAGCAGAGACAAGCCAGGGGATGAGAACGTCAGGCACGTCGGCCTTCCGCGCCAGGGGGAAGACGGTGGTGTAGCGCGTGAAGTCGTCGACAAGCACTAGGAAGAAGCGCTCGCGACGCGGCCCATGGACCGGGGCTGGGCCCCAGACGTCCATGTGCAGAGTCTGCAGTGGTGCGGTGGTAGGGGGAAAAGAGGAGGAGTGAGGGGCACGGCAGAGCCGGCCCTCGACACAAGGCGTGCACGGTGGGGCGGGGGAGGAGGGAAACTCGGGGAACGAACCGGGGAGACCAAGGACGAGACCGTGCTGGGACATGTGACGCAGACGCGGGAGCGCAGGGTGACCTAGGCGGTGGTGCCAAAGGAGAGTCGGGTGAGTGAGGGACCGACAGGAGCAGGCAGCAGCAACCTGGGTAGACGCAGCCACCTGAGGGAGCGCTCCAGCCGGGGGGGTCACGGTGTCCAGAGTGAACAGGCCGGACACTGGGTCCCGGGGGAACGTGGACAGGGGGGCACCAGTGGCGGCCTCGGTACAGACAGCATACCGCTCGTGACCAGGGAACGTAGTGGTGACGCCAAGGTCCTGGAGGCAGCCGACACCAACTAGGTTCCTGGAGAACGAGGGGATATGCAGACCTGTGAGAGTGCCCGAAGGAACCGCCGGACAGGGAAGGGAGGTGGAACTGCGGGCAACGACGGGACCACCGGAGGGGTCAGCAAGAGTAACTGCAGCGGGAACAGGCAGCGGCGTCAGCGTCGTGGAGTCGCGGAAGAAACACCGGGAGGCGCCAGAGTCCAAGGTGAAGGAAAGCGCAGCAGTCGCGCGAGGCAGCAGTGAAGCGGTGGAAGCACCAAGGCTAAGCAAAGCAGGAGATCCTACGCCTGACGCAGCAGGGGAGTCTACGCTAGGCACCGCTACACTAGGCAACACGGGGTAATAAGAGGGAAGCACACTAGAGTCATCAGCATACATCACATGCAAGGCCGCTACAATGGCATCCATGTCCAAGTCAAAAATCCTAATGCTACGCCTAAGCAAGCTGTGCCAGTCCGGGAGGTCGGGCGCCGGGCCAAAGCGCTGGCGGAACAGGTCGTCCAGGCGACGAAAACAGCGAGGAGTAGAATGACCGATCTTACCGCAAACGAAGCCGCGGCGAGGACCGGTCTGGATCTGGTACTGACAGGGCCCGCCTCCAGAACCACCACCCGGTGCACCACCACGCGCACGACCACCACCAGCTCCAGGCCACCCAGGTGGGAGAGTACTCGCCTGCCTCGTCTGCGGCGGCTGCTGCGGCTGCTGCGAGGGCTGCGGCTGCGGCGACTGCTGCTGCTGCGGCTGCTGCAACTGTGGAGGCAGCGGGGCAGCTGGACCGGGCAGGGTCCCCACGTCCGCACCGGCACCGGACGACCCGCCTCCACCACTACCCCCACCCGCACCCCCGCCGCCTCCGCCGCTCCCAACCTTGGGGCGGCGGCCCTTCGCCGAGCGGGACTGCACTGCAGCAGCAGTCTCAGCCACAGCGACAGAGCCGTCGGAGAAGGTACACTGAGCGGGGGCACAACCCTGAAAGATAGGGACCGGTACTGTACCGCTCGCCAGGGCTATGGAGCGGTGACGAGTCTCTATGGCAGTCAGGGTGTCAACAAAGTCGGTGAGGGTGAGAGCAGCAGGGTGGATGCTAAGGAACTGGTCGCGGGCGGCGGCAAGGCGGTCAGGTAGGCGGGTGGCAAGGAGGTAGAGGGTAGAGGTCATGGGAGGCTGGTGGACTCTAAGCTGAGCATCAGTGCAGGCAGCGCGCCAGGCCTCATCTATCGAGCGCAGGTGGGCAGCGAGGTCAGAGACAGTGGGGAAAGACGTCAGGTCAGGAAAGAGCAGGGGAAGGATCAGGCGACCCACTGAGGCAGCAGGAGGGGTAGAATAGCGCTTGATGACAGCATCGAGGTAGGCCTGGGCGGTAGGAATGGTTCTAAAGCGAGGGCGCTCAGTGGGGGGGAGGGCATTGCTAATGGCGAGCTGAGCAAGGGCATCGCGGGAAAGCCAGACAGAGCGGGCAAGGGCAGCAGCGGCAGTGGACTCGCGCTCAGCGGGCGTGGGATCAGCGGGCAGCACAGCAGGGGGGTCAGGGCAGGGGAGCATACCGTCTAGGTGTGCAGAAAGCGGGTGGCCGTCCTGCCGCTGGCCAGTGAGGTGGCGGCGAAGGTCAGCCAACCACGCCTCGAACTCCAGAGGCTGACCCTCAACATCAAAACGAAGCTCAGCAGCCATGAGGGGCAGTGGAGGACAGTGCAGTGCGGTGCAGTGCGATGCAGAGCGGTGCAGTGCGGTCCAGTGCGGTGCAGTGCGATGCAGTGCGGTGCAGTGCGGTCCAGTGCGGTGCAGTGCGGTTAGTGCGATCCAGGGAGGTGCAATGCGATGCAAGGCGGGGCAGGAAAGTGCAGGAGGGTGCAAAGTGGTGCGGGGAACGGGGGACAGTACCAGGAAGTATGGAGGGCCGGGGCAGGTGCGTCGGGGCCGGGCAGGCACGACAAGGCCGGGCGGCGGCGACGGGGCCGGGCGGCTGCGACGGGGCCGGGCGGCGGCGACGGGGCCGGGCGGCAGCGACAAGGCCGGGCGGCTGCGACGTGGCCGGGCGGCTGCGACGGGGCCGGGCGGCTGCGACGGGGCCGGGCGGCAGGGACGAGGCCGGGCCGGACACAGCAGGGCCGGGCAGGGGCGACGGGGCCGGGCGGCTGCGACGTGGCCGGGCGGCTGCGACGTGGCCGGGCGGCTGCGACGGGGCCGGGCGGCTGCGACGGGGCCGGGCGGCAGGGACGGGGCCCGGGCAGGCCACAGCAGGGCCGGGCAGGGGCGACGGGGCCGGGCGGGCGAGCAGGGGCCGGGCAGGTGCGACAGGGGCCGGGCAGCCGCGACGGGAGCAGGGGCGACGGGGCCGAGCAGGGGCGACGGGGCCGAGCAGGGGCGACGGGGATGGGTAGGGGCGCGACGGGGCCTGGAGGGGCGTTACCAAGCCCAGGTAGGGGCGCGACGGGGCCTGGGGGGAGCGCAATGGGTCCCAGGAGGGGCGCTACGGGGCCTGGGAGGAGCGCGACTGGGCTAGGGAGGGGCGCGACGGGGCCTGGGAGGAGCGCAATGGGGCCCAGGAGGGGCGCTACGGGGCCTGGGAGGAGCGCGACGGGGCCCTGGAGGGGCGCTACCAGGCCCTGGAAGGGGCGCGACGGGGCCTGGAGGGGCGCTACGAAGCCCTGAAAGGGGCGCGACGGGGCCTGGAGGGGCGCTACAAGGCCTGGGAGGAGCGCGACGGGGCCCAGAAAGGGGCGCAACGGGGCCCAGGAAGGGGCGCGACGGGGCTAGGGAGGGTCGCGACGGGGCTAGGGAGGGTCGCGACGGGGCTAGGAGCACGACGGGGCCCAGCTAGGGGGCGAGCGGAAGCGTGAGGGGGGGGGGGGATCCTACCTACGCGTGATACCATATCAAACAGTGAAATTGATGAATAGAGAGAGAGAGTACACAAACATATACCTAACAGTTGTACTCTTTAGAGGATGACCCTATACAGTCTATACAAGCATGATAACTAAACATGTTTGACAACCCTGCCCTTCTTCTCACTCTTCTGCGACAACCAATCCGCGATCAAAATCGCGAACAAAAACGGTTTCGCCAACCAAACCAAGCACATCGCCCTGCGGTATTTCTTCGTCAATGATGAAATCGCGAAGGGGAGACTTCAACTCAGTTACTGCCCCACGACAGAAATGGCTGCAGACTACCTGACGAAGAAACTGGCGAAAGCAAAGTTCGACTACTGCATGCTACTGACCGGGCAGATAAACGTCGCCGAATGTGGACACGTCAGCACTCCAGAAACGAAGGGGAGTGTTGGAAATATCTCAAGGACTTGAGCGTTTCTGAAGTGTAACACTACACTCGAGGAAAGTCGTATCGGGTACGCGAGTCAACGGAGGTTACACGAGGGGGCGGACAAAGAACACGAAAGGACTCGAAGGGTCGCAATCGGAGGTTGCGACTGACCGTTACAACTGCAAGGATGGTAACAGAACCGTCAATCGAGTCGCTGTGCGACTCGACTAACCGCTCCTTTAACAGTATTCTACAACTGCTTTACTTTCCTACTTTCTATATATTACTGTATGCTTGTTTCTTTTAATCAATCACTTGCTCTCACATACTAGTGCAAGGGTTCAACTACTCAACTTCCGCTGCACTACTCAAGTATCTTGCACAACTGGGACTTAGTCTCTAAAAGATCCTAAGGGCTTTTTCTCAGCCCAACACATACACTATTGGAAGCTAAGCCGTGGAAAGGATGCCAGAGTATTCAACATGATTGCGACCAGATGAGGCTGAATGCCCTGCGAAGACCCTGTGCTCCAGCCGTGCTCGCCACCTTGCATTGCTTGCAACACGCAATTCTTCTCAAGCTGTCGTAAAGCCCTCTGTGGCAGAACAAGTACCGTAGGTCCGTGGCTTATCAGAAGTTATGCCATTGAGGTAGCAACGCATCGTACATTTACCACCAATTGTGACAGTGCCTGGGGCTCGCGCTGCCAGCAGCACCACCGCACTCTACTCTACCGACTAGCCTGCCTTGGCTCTCAAGGCGGCGTCCCTCTCCTTGCGCTCTGCCACCATCTGCTCCAGGCGCTCTAGGATCTGCACCACGGCACCACATACAAGCGGCACACAGCGGTACAGGTGAAAGTGTTACATAGTGCAATCAGCAGAAATACTCCAACCCTCTAAATATGCGTCGGGCAACTCTAGAATAGACAACACTTCAATCCAAAGGTTGTACTTGGTGAAGCAGCACGCAACCCAATAGACTGACCTCGAGAGCAACTCTTGTTGGCGTGACATCTGCCACCTCGGCTGCAGTGCGGAACGCAACATCTGCAGCAACCGCCAAGGTACACGGTCAGAATTCCAGACAGGGATTGTCCACCGCAGGAGCAACGTGAAGGGAACACACCGAATGGTGTGGGGTGCGATGAACGCGACAGGCGTGGAAACGAGGGATGCAGACAGGGAGGAAGGACGGGGGTGGGTGGGGGGGGGAGGGGGAGAGGGGAGAGGAGGAAGGGAGTGGGGATGGGGAGTGAGGGGGTTGGGGAAAGAGAGTGGGGGAATAGGGCACCTTGTAGCGATATGGTGGCATCTGCGTTGCTGTACTGCGACTTGCGGTCGGCAGCTAGACGAGCCAGGCGCGATAATGTCTGGCGACGTGGGCCGGGGCCGGGGGGAATGCAGTGTGAGAGGGTTAACAGACGCACATGTGATGAAAGAGCGCCACGTGTTGAGGCACTAGTTAACCTGGAATGCAGAATCGAATGAGAAGGGCATGTGCAAGAGAGAAGACAGTGGTGTGGAGGGGCCCACCTTGCTGTGCTCGTCGCTTTCAGCTGCTGCCTGCTGCTCCTCAACCTCTGCTGCTTGCGACAGCAGCGGCCGCACGCCAGTGCCCACTGCCACGACCCGGTGGGCCAGCTGGTCCACGGGCACGTCTAGATGCACCGTGACTCCGTGCGCCAGGTAGCTCCTGTGTGTGTGTGTGTGTGTGTGTGAGAGAGAGAGAGAGAGAGAGAGAGAGAGAGAGAGAGAGAGAGAGAGAGAGAGAGAGAGAGAGAGAGAGAGAGAGAGAGATGAGAGATGGGAGTGCAGGATATGGCTCTTTGGCCACAGGGGCACAGGTAGGTTGTGGGTGGGTGAGAGGCACGGGGAGGGAGGAGTACGCAAGACGGCATGAGAGAGGGTGGTGCATGAGGTAACCGGTGATGAACCCACAGGCACGTGGACTTGCACATGCACTGTGACGCTGTGCGACAGGTAGCTCCTGGGGGGTGGCGAGCAAGGAGAGGGAGGGGTGCGTGAGCACGGCGTGAGAGAGCGGCAACATGAGATTCATAGCGACGCATGCACCGGCACACCCACATGCGCCACTATGCGGTGCCACATGGAGGTGCTGGTGGGCGGCACAGGGAGGGCAAGTGGGTAGCGGAGGAGAGACGTGGGAGAGCTTGCGGAGATTGAGAGTGATGACGCGGGACAGGAGCAGAGAGCGCTGCAACCACTTGCTGCTGCACCCTCTCACTCTCCCCGTCTCCCATGCAACCCTGCTTCCGTTATCCGTGCCTTGTCGTTTCCTGTCAGCACAGGTGCGCGTCGTCAGCACCACAGAGGCTTGACATGGCACTCCACCACAAGTGGTGCGCGTTTACTTCCACCAGCACAAATGACCCCGGAGCTGCTCACCAGTTGACAGGGCGTGTGACAGCGCCTCCCCCCGTGGCCACGACCAGCCGGCCCATGGACGACAGCTCTGCCAGCACTCGCGACTGGGGAGGGGGATGTGGGGGGGAGAGGGGTGTGGGGGAGAGAGGGAGGGGAAATGAGGAGATGGTTTATTGGGCAGCATGCAAGGTAGCATGCAAGGCAGCACGCAAGACAGCATGCAAGGCAGAGGGACGTGCAGAATGGGAGGCAGGCCACGGCAGCGGGGAGAGAGGGGGGGTAAGGGCGGGAGAGAGGGGGGGTAAGGGTGGGAGAGGCAGAGCCCGAATCCATGGGAATGCAGCGGCGAGACACCCGCCCCTTCAATGGGGAGGCGCCATGGGGACAGCATGGGGGAGAGAGTGAGGGGGGGTTGGGGGGTTCATGGGCGTATGAGCAGAGATAGCATGCAAGGATGTGCCATGGGAAGGTACCTGTCACTCCAAGGCGCCCTGTGAAAGACAGCTCTGCACGCACCGGGGACTGCACCCACCACATGTGCAAATACCTGCTGCCACTTCTTCTCCCCACCTGGAATGACCCCACCTGCGACCCCACCTGCGACCCCACCTGCGACCCCCCCCCCCTGACCTCGAGCTGGCGGAACTCCTCCTCGCCGTTCTCAGCGAATATCTGCGCCACCGACGCCCCGCCTGCTGCCGCCTCCACCACTCGGTCACTGCATTGCACGGAGCGGAGGGGGGAGGGGGGAGGGGGGAGGGGTGAGAGAGGGGAAAACCACCATTTCCCCGCCCGCTGCTGCCTCCACCACCCGATCAATCACCGCACAGAGAAGGGGCGTGGGGGGAGGGAGGAATAAGGTGGGGGGGAGAAGCATGGGAGGTTGGTACGAGAACACACGCCTGTTGCAGCGGCCACCACTCCATCTGGCATGGGGTGCACACTGCCCCCAATGCTATGCACGCTGCTGCCCCCGTATCCTGCACCCATGTGCGCCGAGCGGGAAAGAGGCATGAAGAGACTGATGACTGACACAGTGCATGTTAGAGTGCATGGTAGAGTGCATGTGAGAGTGCATGTTAGACTGCATGGTAGAGTGCATGTTAGAGTGCATGTGAGAGTGCATGTGAGAGTGCATGTTAGAGGGCATGTGAGAGTGCATGTGAGAGAGCATGATAGAGTGCATGTGAGAGTGCATGTTAGAGTGCATGTTAGAGTGCATGTTAGAGAGCATGTGAGAGTGCATGTGATGTGAGTGAGAGTGCATGTTAGAGTGCATGTTAGAGTGCATGTGAGAGTGCATGTTAGAGTGCATGTTAGAGTGCATGTGAGAGTGCATGTCAGAGTGCATGGTAGAGTGCATGTTAGAGTGCATGCCCACTGTTTCTCCGCCTGCTGCTGTCCCTCAATCCCGATAGGGTGGGCGAGGGGATGGGAGAAAACGAGAAGGGTGATGCAGATTGTGGTCAGAAGCAGTGCGGCGCCGCGCAGCGGGTGAGGATGCTGCGGCAATGTGAGGTGTGATGGAAGAGAGAGGCAACGTGATTCTATAAGGACAGACAGAAGAAGCACCTGACACAGAAGAAGCACCTGCCACAGACGAAGCACCTGACACAGAAGAAGCACCTGCCACAGAAGAAGCACCTGACACAGAAGAAGCCCCTGACACAGAAGAAGCACCTGACACAGAAGAAGCCCCTGACACAGAAAAAGCACCTGACACAGAAGAAGCACCTGAGACAGAAGAAGCACCTGAGACAGAAGAAGCACCTGGGACAGAAGAAGCAGAGTAGAGAAAGGAGGGCACCTGTCGAAGAAGCAGTATCCGAGGAGGTCTGCAAGCAGCGTGCCCACCGTGGTCTTGCCGCTGCCCATCATGCCTGCACGCGCAGGGGGACACGGACGCACGCCATGGGATGCCAAGGGGAGCAAAGGAATGCGATGTGGAAGGGATGCGATGTGGAGTGGCGAAGTGGGAAGGGGTGTGCAAGTGAACACATGGTCTCATGGACGATTGAATCCTTTCAACAGAAGAAACAGGGAGCTACTACAATTGACCTTGTATCACTCAACTCAATGGCTACTTCTACCGTGCTCCCTACCGACTGCCCTACTGTGGCCGCTGCTGGAAATGCTTGATCCATGATGGATGGGGAGCTGCTTGATCAATGATGGATGGGGAGCTGCTTGATGTATAATGGATGGGGAGCTGCTTGATGCATGATGGATGGGGAGCTGCTTGATGCATGATGGATGGGGAGCTGCTTGATGCATGAGGGATGGGGAGCTGCTTGATGCATGATGGATGGGGAGCTGCTTGATCCATGATGGATGGGGAGCTGCTTGATCCATGATGGATGGGGAGCTGCTTGATGCATGATGGATGGTGAGCTGCTTGATGCATGAGGGATGAGGAGCTGATTGCTGCATGATGGATGGGGAGCTGCTTGATGCATGATGGATGGGGAGCTGCTTGATGCATGATGGATGGGGAGCTGCTTGATGCAAGATGGATGGGAAGCTGCTCGATGCATGATGGATGGGAAGCTGCTTGATGCATGACGGATGGGGAGCTGCTTGATGCATGAGGGATGGGGAGCTGCTTGATGCATGATGGATGGGGAGCTGCTTGATGCATGATGGACGGGGAGCTGCTTGATGCATGATGGATGGGGAGCTGCTTGATGCATGATGGATGGGGAGCTGCTTGATCCATGATGGATGGGGAGCTGCTTGATCCATGATGGATGGGGAGCTGCTTGATCCATGATGGATGGGGAGCTGCTTGATCCATGATGTATGGTGAGCTGCTTGATGCATGAGCGATGAGGAGCTGCTTGATGCATGATGGATGGGGAGCTGCTTGATGCATGAGGGATGGGGAGCTGCTTGATGCATGATGGATGGGAAGCTGCTTGATGCATGACGGATGGGGAGCTGCTTGATGCATGAGGGATGGGGAGCTGCTTGATGCATGATGGACGGGGAGCTGCTTGATGCATGATGGATGGGGAGCTGCTTGATGCATGATGGATGGGGAGCTGCTTGATCCATGATGGATGGGAAGCTGCTTGATCCATGATGGATGGGGAGCTGCTTGATGCATGAGGGATGAGGAGCTGCTTGATGCATGATGGATGGGGAGCTGCTTGATGCATGATGGATGGGGAGCTGCTTGATGCATGATGGATGGGGAGCTGCTTGATGCATGATGGATGGGGAGCTGCTTGATGCATGAGGGATGGGGAGCTGCTTGATCCTTGAGGGATGGGGAGCTGCTTGATGCATGATGGACGGGGAGCTGCTTGATGCATGATGGATGGGGAGCTGCTTGATGCATGATGGATGGGGAGCTGCTTGATCCATGATGGATGGGAAGCTGCTTGATCCATGATGGATGGGGAGCTGCTTGATGCATGATGTATGGTGAGCTGCTTGATGCATGAGGGATGAGGAGCTGCTTGATGCATGATGGATGGGGAGCTGCTTGATGCATGAGGGATGGGGAGCTGCTTGATGCATGATGGATGGGGAGCTGCTTGATCCATGATGGATGGGGAGCTGCTTGATCCATGATGGATGGGGAGCTGCTTGATGCATGATGGATGGTGAGCTGCTTGATGCATGAGGGATGAGGAGCTGCTTGCTGCATGATGGATGGGGAGCTGCTTGATGCATGATGGATGGGGAGCTGCTTGATGCATGATGGATGGGGAGCTGCTTGATGCAAGATGGATGGGAAGCTGCTCGATGCATGATGGATGGGGAGCTGCTTGATGCATGACGGATGGGGAGCTGCTTGATGCATGAGGGATGGGGAGCTGCTTGATGCATGATGGATGGGGAGCTGCTTGATGCATGATGGACGGGGAGCTGCTTGATGCATGATGGATGGGGAGCTGCTTGATGCATGATGGATGGGGAGCTGCTTGATCCATGATGGATGGGGAGCTGCTTGATCCATGATGGATGGGGAGCTGCTTGATCCATGATGGATGGGGAGCTGCTTGATCCATGATGGATGGGGAGCTGCTTGATCCATGATGTATGGTGAGCTGCTTGATGCATGAGCGATGAGGAGCTGCTTGATGCATGATGGATGGGGAGCTGCTTGATGCATGATGGATGGGGAGCTGCTTGATGCATGATGGATGGGAAGCTGCTTGATGCATGATGGATGGGGAGCTGCTTGATGCATGACGGATGGGGAGCTGCTTGATGCATGAGGGATGGGGAGCTGCTTGATGCATGATGGACGGGGAGCTGCTTGATGCATGATGGATGGGGAGCTGTTTGATGCATGATGGATGGGGAGCTGCTTGATCCATGATGGATGGGAAGCTGCTTGATCCATGATGGATGGGGAGCTGCTTGATGCATGAGGGATGAGGAGCTGCTTGATGCATGATGGATGGGGAGCTGCTTGATGCATGATGGATGGGGAGCTGCTTGATGCATGATGGATGGGGAGCTGCTTGATGCATGATGGATGGGGAGCTGCTTGATGCATGAGGGATGGGGAGCTGCTTGATCCTTGAGGGATGGGGAGCTGCTTGATGCATGATGGATGGGGAGCTGCTTGATGCATGACGGATGGGGAGCTGCTTGATGCATGAGGGATGGGGAGCTGCTTGATCCTTGAGGGATGGGGAGCTGCTTGATGCATGATGGACGGGGAGCTGCTTGATGCATGATGGATGGGGAGCTGCTTGATGCATGATGGATGGGGAGCTGCTTGATCCATGATGGATGGGGAGCTGCTTGATCCATGATGGATGGGGAGCTGCTTGATCCATGATGGATGGGGAGCTGCTTGATCCATGATGGATGGGGAGCTGCTTGATCCATGATGTATGGTGAGCTGCTTGATGCATGAGCGATGAGGAGCTGCTTGATGCATGATGGATGGGGAGCTGCTTGATGCATGAGGGATGGGGAGCTGCTTGATGCATGATGGATGGGAAGCTGCTTGATGCATGATGGATGGGGAGCTGCTTGATGCATGACGGATGGGGAGCTGCTTGATGCATGAGGGATGGGGAGCTGCTTGATGCATGATGGACGGGGAGCTGCTTGATGCATGATGGATGGGGAGCTGTTTGATGCATGATGGATGGGGAGCTGCTTGATCCATGATGGATGGGAAGCTGCTTGATCCATGATGGATGGGGAGCTGCTTGATGCATGAGGGATGAGGAGCTGCTTGATGCATGATGGATGGGGAGCTGCTTGATGCATGATGGATGGGGAGCTGCTTGATGCATGATGGATGGGGAGCTGCTTGATGCATGATGGATGGGGAGCTGCTTGATGCATGAGGGATGGGGAGCTGCTTGATCCTTGAGGGATGGGGAGCTGCTTGATGCATGATGGACGGGGAGCTGCTTGATGCATGATGGATGGGGAGCTGCTTGATGCATGATGGATGGGGAGCTGCTTGATCCATGATGGATGGGAAGCTGCTTGATCCATGATGGATGGGGAGCTGCTTGATGCATGATGTATGGTGAGCTGCTTGATGCATGAGGGATGAGGAGCTGCTTGATGCATGATGGATGGGGAGCTGCTTGATGCATGATGGATGGGGAGCTGCTTGATGCATGATGGATGGGGATCTGCTTGATGCATGAGGGATGGGGAGCTGCTTGATCCTTGAGGGATGGGGAGCTGCTTGATGCATGATGGATGGGGAGCTGCTTGATGCATGATGGAAGGGGAGCTGCTTGATGCATGACGGATTGGGAGCTGCTTGATGCATGATGGATGGGGAGCTGCTTGATGCATGATGGATGGGAAGCTGCTTGATGCATGATGGATGGGGAGCTGCTTGATGCATGACGGATGGGGAGCTGCTTGATGCATGAGGGATGGGGAGCTGCTTGATCCTTGAGGGATGGGGAGCTGCTTGATGCATGATGGACGGGGAGCTGCTTGATGCATGATGGATGGGGAGCTGCTTGATGCATGATGGATGGGGAGCTGCTTGATCCATGATGGATGGGGAGCTGCTTGATGCATGATGGATGGGGAGCTGCTTGATCCATGATGGATGGGGAGCTGCTTGATCCATGATGGATGGGGAGCTGCTTGATCCATGATGGATGGGGAGCTGCTTGGTCCATGATGGATGGGGAGCTGCTTGATCCATGATGTATGGTGAGCTGCTTGATGCATGAGCGATGAGGAGCTGCTTGATGCATGATGGATGGGGAGCTGCTTGATGCATGAGGGATGGGGAGCTGCTTGATGCATGATGGATGGGAAGCTGCTTGATGCATGATGGATGGGGAGCTGCTTGATGCATGAGGGATGGGGAGCTGCTTGATGCATGATGGACGGGGAGCTGCTTGATGCATGATGGATGGGGAGCTGCTTGATGCATGATGGATGGGGAGCTGCTTGATCCATGATGGATGGGAAGCTGCTTGATCCATGATGGATGGGGAGCTGCTTGATGCATGAGGGATGAGGAGCTGCTTGATGCATGATGGATGGGGAGCTGCTTGATGCATGATGGATGGGGAGCTGCTTGATGCATGATGGATGGGGAGCTGCTTGATGCATGATGGATGGGGAGCTGCTTGATGCATGAGGGATGGGGAGCTGCTTGATCCTTGAGGGATGGGGAGCTGCTTGATGCATGATGGACGGGGAGCTGCTTGATGCATGATGGATGGGGAGCTGCTTGATGCATGATGGATGGGGAGCTGCTTGATCCATGATGGATGGGAAGCTGCTTGATCCATGATGGATGGGGAGCTGCTTGATGCATGATGTATGGTGAGCTGCTTGATGCATGAGGGATGAGGAGCTGCTTGATGCATGATGGATGGGGAGCTGCTTGATGCATGATGGATGGGGAGCTGCTTGATGCATGATG